AAAAAAAAAAAAAAAAAAAAAAAAAAGGAACATTTATGAGATTTATATTTGAATCGTTGAAAAGCCATAATTGATCAACTCTGTAAATTGAAAAGTAGAAAGAAACGATAAAAGCTCCTATTAAGATCAATTTATATTATTTCCTCGTGATAGGAGAACCTATGAAAAAGAACAATTCTATTAATTTTAACTTCTTCTGAGAATTCAAAGCTTGTAACATGAGAAAGATCGTGGAAATTGAAAAATGCAATTATATAAAAAATTAATTTTATAAATATTCACATGTCGAAAATCCTACTAATTAAATGGAAATTCTACGAAACAGGCCAGCAATGGATTCGACGGGAAATCCAATCTAGACGGTGTCGGACAAATCGTGTCTGGCATAGAAAGTTTATTCTCTGGCAGCGAGAATGGTCAAGGATTCGATTTCTCTGTGATCGGTTCGATTCTCGACGGTGTAATGAACTCTGACAAAGGCAGCAAGAGATCAGCTAGAAGCGTGGAGGCGAAACAAGAGCCTGGGATCGATCTGCAGGGCATCGTGAACATGGGAAGCATGCTGATGGGCCAAAATGGCAATTCTGACTTAATGATGGGATTGATACCGATGCTGCTGTCGAATTTCGGCAACGATAACAACGAGGTTGACGGCGCATCGAACAAGATACACGACCACTCTGGACATTCTTGGTACATGCCGCCGATCCTTGAAAATCTGCACGTGATGTGGGACCATTTCAGTAACTCGGAGCTGGGTCAAACGTTGTGGGAGAAGAGCGGTTTGTCGAAGTTCGTGGGCCAAATTTCGGACTCCAAGGGACGTATACAATACGAGAAGCTGCTGAAAAGCCTCGAGAACTCAAGTCTGCGTCGCAGTCTGATACGATTGTTGACGAATTATATCGGAGAATGGATTTCCTACATCTCTGATCCGCAGATTCAACAGCGTTACTTGAATACCGCTCAGTTCGTGGGGAACAGTTTCCTGAAGTCGCAGGGATTCCCAAAATCGGCCATGTTCGATTCGATGAGACCGGTGGAGAGTCTTTCTAGGTATTTTGCTACTTTAAAAAGGTTGAAATTCAATCCCTTCGCTGTTTATTAAAATAACGATGTAGTGAGGATACTATACCACTAGGGTAAAAATTAGATTTGCAATTATTTTATGTTTAGTTATTTATCTATTAATTAACGTGTAATCTTCATATGTCGTTGTGATAATTTTCTGTAATAATTTAGTACTAGATATTTATTTTTTGCTACACTCGTATGATGTAAGTGAAAAATTGGATACATGTGATAAAAATGAGCAATCATCATTTTTAATTAATTTTCAATATATTACTTGTTACACAGTTCGACAATAATTCCAAAAGGTGTATATTTGAAATTGAATTTCATTGCGCGATTATATCTCAATAGATTAGTGAACGCAGTGGGTAAGAGGCACTTGGGCATGAAAATTGACAGTTCGCAGTATATCAAGCCAGCTGTATCATACATCAAAGAATTAATCACTCTTGCCTCTGAGAAAGGATTTATCATGTCTCGAGTAAACGCCAGAGAGATCAGCAACAGGCTCAGTGATATGATCAACAATGACATTAGCAATCCAATACTGAAGGTAACAAATGAAACAAGCAATTAACGTTCTATTATAGAATCGCGTGTTTAAATTAATAATGGATTTGCAGTCTTATCGGGCATACAAATGGTCGATCAAAAGGCCGCAATGCGCCAGTCAAATCTTGTGCACTGTCAATGAAAAGAACGAACAGGATACGAAACAACCTCGTTTGAGAAGTTATTTATTGAAAGTGACCAGTTTCCCTGCTGCTTGGGCTGTGAGTAATAAGCTAGGAATTAATTTCTGGTATCTTTATGGAGCTATCATGGAACACGACAAGTGCACTGTAAGTAAAATAGGTATCTCACATTCCTCTCCTTTCCTTTTTTTTTTTTTTTTTTGCTTTTTTTACTTTATCAGAATTGTTCTAACGTCTCTTTCGATTTTCAGCAAAAATATCCGGCCGACTGTACAGATTTCCACGAAGAGGAGATCCGAATTACGACGGAGAACGTTCACAGTGAACTTTAATCTTCAGTTCAGTGTACCTTGTGAAAGACATTCACGACTTTTAAAATTAATCTCACGGATACACAGTCATATCGTACAGTTAGTTATTCTACTTGTAGCTTTTAAGACCATTATACGTTAAGGAAAAAAAAAAGAGAGAGAGATTTATCGCAAAAGTTCGAAAATAGAGTTCGAAAATGTTTTAGTGTACATAGAGAAATAACTGGAAACGAAGTCGATCGAATAAGTAGATCTTTAACTTTACGAATCTTTTATTTATCCTGAATCACGCATGAAGAGCATTCACTTTTTTTTTTATGTACATTGTGTAATTCTTTTATATTCACGGTGCTAAACATTCTCTCAAGTGTTATGAAATCAACAATAATAAGAGCACCAGTTATAGTTACTTTTATATATATATATAATATGTATCTTCTTTGGACTCATTTTCTATATTTATTTCTTTCCAATGGAATCTATAAAAATTCTACTTTATAAGAAGAACACGTGTGAGAAGCTACACGTTACAACATTCTTTGGGACATCGTAAATCTGAGCTTAGGAAAGCTCCTTCCATGAAGGACGGAAGTTGAATGACTAGATCCATTCGATCGTGTTCATACGCTTGCGTTATCTGCAACAGCTTTTGTAAATATTAGGTAAAAGTCAAATAAAACGTATGTTCGGATGTACGAGATACATCGTAAAACCGTTTTCATTCTTATACCACCGTTACTTCCTCTTGATGTTCTTGCATGCCCATTCAAGACCCTCCTGGAAAATTATGAGATTTAACGCTAAATTTCTTAAATATTTTTGAGAAAAAAAAAAAACGAAATCACATATGTAATTTCTTCTAGGAATTTTATTTTTATTTTTATTTTTATATTTTATTTTTCGTTAAAAGTTGTTTTGTTTGGAACAGAGTCAAGTAACGAAATTAATTTACCTTGACGCCTTTCCCTTCAGTCGCGATGCATGATTGTATCTGCCAATCACGATCCTTAATATTGTGCAATCCAAGACCTTCAGCGATTTCGGCCGCTGTGACAGCTTGTCCAAGATCTTGCTTATTTGCATAGACCAACAAAGGAACACCTCTCAATTTTTCCTCCAGCAAAAGTTCCGACAATTCTTGACCTGTTTCTTCTAGTCTCTTTATATCCGCGCTGTCCACGACGTATATCTTTGCAAGAGAAGAAGGAAAACTTAATATTCTTGTTACACAGGCTTGGGTAATTTTTATTTGGAGTAAAGATAAAAGATAATCTCAAATAATCAATCATTTCAATTATCTTCGTCAACTCTTTCAAATAAAATATATGTATAATTTGGACATCAATCGTAATTTGAATTTTAAATATTGCATTTTGAATACATCAGAATCGCACGTGAACGAATTATTTTACAACGTGATGTGCTCTTTACTGTTTCAATTTTCCATATTCAAATAATATGCACTTGAAAATATTACATAAAAGTACTAAGAATTTGAAAAATTTTTTTATTTATATAAAATACTAAATAAGATAAAAGATTTATTAGTTAAATTATAAATTCAAATTTGCTTATTCAAGTGAACTAAGATATTAATTATTTTCAAGTTGACGTTGTAATTTTCCAAGCATTTTGTTTAAATAATTGGTTATCTAATTTTGTGTTAGGACAGTGTTTAAATAACTGAAGCGACTTACTAAAACATCCGTATTTTCGAAATAATTTCGCCAATAGGGACGAATTTTTCGAGCACCTCCTATGTCCCAAACGTTTAATTTAAAACCTTCGCTTTGAACGCTTTTTATATTAAAGCCTTGTGTCGGCGTTACCTTTAACAAATAACGAATTATTGTAGTAAACAATTAAATTATAATTACCTGCATTCGTGACACATACCTGCGTAATATCTTCGCTGGCCAGCGATTTTAAAATCGTTGTTTTCCCAGCATTGTCTAATCCCAAAAGGAGCAGTCGCAATTCTTTGTCCGGATTGGAACGCAGTTTTCTCAAGATTGACAAAAGTCCCTGTTTGTTAAACAACGAAATAAAGATATTTCTCAATTTTG